AGGGCAGAGAGGAGACACAGAATCGAAACAGGCTCAGGCTCTGAGCCATCAGTAGAACCCAGAGCCGACGCTGGGGCTCGAACTCCTGGACCCAGACGGTCGTGACCTGGCTGAAGTCGGACGCCAACCGACTGCGCCACCCAGGCGCCCCTGTTTATTTATTTCTGAGACAGAGAGAGACAGAGCCTGGGAGGGGGAGGGGCAGAGAGAGAGGGAGACACAGAATCTGGAAGCAGACTCAGGCTCTGAGCTGTCAACACAAAGAGCTATTCGACGCCGGGGCCTCGAACTCACAAACCATGAGATCATGACCTGAGCCGAAGTTGGTCGCTCAACCAACTGAACCACCCAGGTGCCCCGAGAATTCATCATCTTAAAGAATAGAAAAGTGGGCAAGAAGAAATTGAAAATACTAAAAAGTACTAAGGAAAATGACCACTAAATGCCAGTTAGGAGGGGGGAAAAGCATCTTAGTTTTCATAATATCAAAAAGGGGTTTGGGGCACAGCTCACATACATCATTCAGAGAGTGAAACCCTTCACAGTGCAGGGTCCGGAAGTGGTGGAATTTATAAATGTAACCAGAATATATAAATGGAGATGCGCCATGAATGAGTGTCAAAATTAGGAACTAGTCGAGGCTTAGAAACAAATGAACTGTGAGGAGAAAATCTGACCTACATTCCTTGACTTAATTGTCTAACAATAGCAATCAACTAAGACTGGCATGCACCTTGAAGTCTAAAAATTCAAGGAATGAAAATAGGAGCACATAATTGAAGCAGACGCAGTGGTTTTTTTTTTTTTTTAATGTTTTATTTATTTTTGAGACAGAGAGAGACAGAGCATGAGCAGGGGAGGGGCAGAGAGAGAGGGAGACACAGAATCCGAAGCAGGCTCCAGGCTCCAGGCTCCGAGCCGTCAGCACAGAGCCCGACACGGGGCTCGAACCCACAAACTGTGAGATCGTGACCTGAGCCGAAGTTGGACGCTTAACCAACTGAGCCACCCAGGCGCCCCTGTTTGTTTGTTTGTTTGTTTGTTTGTTTGTTTGTTTGTTTGTTTTAAATACAAATGTGCCTATCTGCTTTCACCAATAGTAAAAGCATTCTGACCTTTTTTTTTCTAGTCAAAGTATATACTGAGTATGCACACTTTGGGGTATATTTGCAATGCAGCAGATATTCCCCCATGGGACAAGCCATGTCTCTTTGCAGACCTAATACACTATTGAAGAATTCCTCTTAGAAACCATACTCTCTCAGCAATGAGGCTAATCAGTTCCCACTTGTCTATATCTGTAGGTCAGTTTAGAGAAACTTTTCACAGAATATTCACTTGTCTCTAGCAGCTTGCTAGAGACATAAGGGGAGTAAATTCATGTCCCCTGGACTCAAAATGTTTGCAATCTTACTGAGGATTTAAGATTTACATGTATTAATAAAATAGTAATTCAGGTAAGCCAGTTTACTTACAGGCAAGAATGTACCTTACAGATACTAAGTCAGTGATTCTCAAATATTAGTGTGCATGAAAGCTATGTTGGGAGCCATCTAAACATGCAGCCACATTTTGACCCAACAGGGCAGGGATCTTTACCTTTGTCAAGCACTCCAGATTGTTTGGATGTTGTTTGGCCAGTGAGGCTCTTGGGTGGGTGCATGGGAAGTCAGGAACTGTCAGGATGGGTTTATAGAAGGCAGCAGACTGGAGATGAAGCTACAAGTCACACTTCAAGGATTGGTGGGATTTAAATTTAGAGAAGGGAAGCATATTCTTGGAAGAGGGAAAAGCCTGAAGAAAAGCACAAGTTTGGGAGCAAATGTAGGATAAGAAATATATACCCAGAAAACAAGCCTGAGAGAAGCATGTAGGATAGTCACATTTCCACTCCACTCGTATAGACTGTCTATGCAGCTTTCATATCCTAGTCAACCTAACTTCTTTATGCAGGTAATCAGAATATATAAAGAAAGAATCTTTCTTTTCTTCATGCTGGAACCTGAGTTTCACATGTTATGTTCAATAATAAGTCTCAAGGAACATAAAAAAGAAAGCAAGCCTTATAGTTACAATTTCTAAGCCAACCAAATCATGTCTATATACAAATTCTAGTTCTGATGGTTAGTATTAGTCTCAGATTAATAGTCATTATGGTGACGTATGACATAGTTAAGAAAACATCATTGCCTTAGGAACCAGAAAGAACTGGATTTAAATCATTATTATATCACTTAGTACCTGGGACATTTTGCATCTCTTTGGATTTTAATTTCCAAATCAATAAAAGAGAAATAATTATAACAATACCTACAATATCAATACCTTGTATTGAGTTTTGAAGATTAAACAAGGTGGTTATGTAAACTCCCTGGCACATAGTAAATAACTTTAAATAAATGAATAATGTTTCTAATATTTTTGCATTTGTAAAGAACATGTTTTAAGTGAATTAATCCATGATTATACATTGGCATAATTCGTTTTAGATCAGATAGGTAAAACATAGCACAGTTGTGATATATTAGGAGAGTTATGTTTTTCTGCACAAAGAAGGGGTGCACTTTGGCAGCGGTAGAACTGGTTAACAATGTGATGTGATTTGAAGGACACCCTAAGATATGTTGCCAAGGGGCCCAAAGTCTCCCATTAGAGTGTCATTCTCTGGTGACTCTTAGAGAGGTATGCAGCTCATATCAGTCATTCATGCCTAGTGTTAATTATCCTGTCAGATCTTTTCTCTCTGTGAGAGTGAGGAACAAGAGATTGGCTGGACATAAAGAAAAGGTGTAACCATTTTGTAATAAGGGGCATACACAGAGGACTGAGCTGGCTAGAGCCTCAGGCCACAGTAGGAGGGTCTTACAAGCCTTAGTCTGGTGAGAAGAGCACCAGAATAGAGAAAATAAGGCATAGAAAGGAGGCACTGACAAATGTCAAGAGTTTTTCCTTCAGTCTCCATCTGGTTTGAGAGCCACTGTTCCCCCATTTCTGTTAAATGTCACACAAATGCCTTTTCATTTTTGGTATCATTTCATAAAGTAAAATTCTCTGAGATAAGAAAGTGAGGCTCAAATGGTCTCACCAGGTGGCCTAAGGAAATTTAAGAACAGAAATGGTTTCCTAAAAAACATTCAATGAACTGTACAGAGTGTTACATAGAGGAAAAAAAAGAAGTATTGAAACTGTTTTGGGTAATTGTGTTCCTTTAATGTGTTTCTTTAAAACACTTATTATTATTCCTCGTTATTTATTATTATTATTTGTAATTACCCTCTCTTTTTTTCACCTGAGAAATTTAAGAAGTAATGTACCTTTCTGGTTTGGAGACTTTTTTTCTGTATACTCTGCTGATTTTCCTGAATCACTATCTGTGATATATCTTTAGAAATTTAGACATTTAGAGGGAAAAGTGCTTTTTCATCTACGTTAATAATAAGGCGAACGTTGGTGAAAGAATTATCTTCTTTGATAGGAAAAGAAAGCAGTTACATTAGTGTGGAATTAGAAATAAGGTCTAAATGCTAACCATAGACTACATAAAAGTAAGGTTATTTATACCAAGAGAAATTGACTATAAATTATAAAAAAAAAAATGTGTTCTGTTTATACCTAGGGCTAGGGTGCATAGTAGTTATTTAGTTGAAGTGTATCACATTATTAATTTACAACACAATTAGAAACAAACCAGAGTCCCTAGCCCTGAGCGGTTTTGAAATACATCATCCACATCACTGTGAGAATAGTCACCATCTTCACACATGTGCTTACACACACACACACACACACACACACACACACACACACACACACACATACTCACCCCTTGAATGGCCCCAATGACTTATCTCTGGGAAGATTTCCTGTTAATTATCTAGTCAGAATCAGCCCAGTAGTGTCAACTTAGTCATGAAAAAGTGGAACAGGGGAGGGCTTATATAAGGCTTTATGATAACTTTTAGTTTTCTATCAAAAGAGACAATGGGGTACAAGAAATACACAGAATTTTGCTTTCAAATAGTGAGTAAATCATTGTGCAACTGAGTGTGATGTTGGGAGAAAAATGCTGCTCAACATCAGAAGCAGTGTTATTTATTTTTTGAATGAGAGCAGAGAATTCCTAAATGAGAGAGGTCAGGAGCTCTTCTCTGAGCCATACTTCACATAGGCAGTGCAGAGGGCTGCCTCAACACATTACCTGAGAAGCCCTAGAAAAATCTGTACCAAAACCTTTACCTTTCACACTGCCATACACTGAAATTCCTACTGCTGGAAATCGCTATTTCAATTCACACACTGAAAATGCACTTTCTTGGGGCGCCTGGGTGGCGCAGTCGGTTAAGCGTCCGACTTCAGCCAGGTCACGATCTCGACGTCCATGAGTTCGAGCCCCGCGTCAGGCTCTGGGCTGATGGCTCAGAGCCTGGAGCCTGTTTCCGATTCTGTGTCTCCCTCTCTCTCTGCCCCTCCCCCGTTCATGCTCTGTCTCTCTCTGTCCCAAAAATAAATAAACGTTGAAAAAAAAAATTAAAAAAAAAAAAAAAAAAAAGAAAATGCACTTTCTTAGGGCACTGGGGGCATCCGTTAGAGATTGCTCAAGGCACCACCCAAATATGGAGCCCGGAAGTCAGGGGACATTGAAAGGGGCAGAGGGGCCTCACTGTGGGCAACATCAACAAACCTCACTATTTTGCCTTCCCCTAGATATGGCCAATAAATGTTCTAGTTAATGTGAACAAATTAAATAGGGAAAAATCAGTTGTATCTTTCAAAATCCATACCAGCAAGTGGCATGTGATTTCTTACGAACACTCGGGCTTCTCTCTCCATGTTAATTGTGACAGTAAAACAATAAAAAATCAAGATTTAATTTTAACTCATGTTGAACCATCTAGTGCAGTAAATGATGATGATGGGCTGGAGAAATATTAATCCGTGTTGGTTATTTAACACCTGCCTTATTTTGAGAAGAGCACTATCAAACGTGTCTGCTCAGGACAATGAACGTCCTCAGCTATGTTCTAGTTTATCGTAAGTTTTTCCTGGTAGTTTTCACTCTGTTGGTTTTACTGCCATTGCCAATCATCCTTCGCACCAAGGTAAGTGAACCTGGAGAATAGGCTGGTGGATTTCCTGATTTATTTAGCTGTCCTTTAATAGTTTCTGTGTAACTGCCTGGTTCAGAACTGGATGGGTGGTGCCACTCTGAGTTTGAAGTCAGGATGGTCGTACATTGTGTTTTGTCCACTTTTCCCCTTTTTAATGGTTAAAGTTGGTTGATCCTCAGTATGACTAACTAGAATAATTAAATAACATATTCAATCAGAATTGTTTTCTTTCTGGTTAACCAGATGAGACAAAGAACAAAAGAAGCACAACCCTTGAGATCTTGTCATTCTAGTTATCAATCTTCAGGGACGATCCTGGGTTAGCACGATCCCATCTCCCAAGGCCAGGCAGCTTTGGGATACTGGGGAAAGAGCTAGAAGAATAACCGGGAGCCCCAGGGTCTAGCACAGACTAATTTACTTGTCAGCTCCATGGCTCAGTGTGGGCCACTAAACCTCCTGGAAATTTAGTTTCCTTATGGAATGAGAAAACGTTGAAAGCATGATGTAATTTTCCTCAGTTAATTAGAAAACTTAATAAATGATTGTACCATGTTCCAATCATTTGAGATCTTATTTCAGTTCGGTGTACTTACAAGCATTTTTCTGTTTGCTTTTAAGTGTAGTCAAAGTCCAGAACAATAAACCCAAGACATTTTTAATCCCGTGGTAAAATGATTTGAATCAGCAAGCATTTAGTGAGCGTAATGAGTGTTACTTGGTAAGAGGACAATCACTGGAGCTAAACTCTCTGCTTTAGGTCACAGATATACCACTTACAAGCTGTGTGACTTGGGCAAATCAGTTAACTTCTCTGAGCTTCTGTTTTCTTGTATGTAAGCCTGGGAGAGTAACAGGCTTGTTGTGAAGATTAAATGCATAAGCATTCATCAGTAGTGGCTGGCACACAGTAAGTAGGGCAGCAAGAGTCTCCCTAAATGTGTTCACCCACAGCCGGTGCAGTTCCCACCACCCCATGATGGCTTTCTGATGTTCTCTAACAAATATTAATCAAGGTTTTACCAGTCTACGTTGAAGTAGAATCACGGTAATTATAATATGGTGGATCTTTCAGTCTCCCTCAAAAGCCTACCACTGATCTAGGAATCTCTGAAGGAAATTCATGTGAGCTAATGAAAAATCCTTTTTGATTCTACCAAGGTCTCCTCTGCCTGTAAAGCTGGGGAAGGGACTGGCCTCTACTGCCCCTGGCTACTTGTTGCCTCGTGCAGGGGACAGCCATCCAGCTGTAGCAGCCTCCCAGGCTGGGCCTCTCTCTCACAATGATGACTCACAATTTCCTGTTGAGGAAGGGAAGGACTCCCACCCTTTTTGGTCAAACATTGAACCCTCAAAGCCTTAAAGAATTTCTAGTGAAAACAATAGGCCCTGTCCATTGCTTTGGTTTAGTTGGTTTTGTTTTTCAAATTTTGTGTGATTAATCTTTCTCTCACCCCCCTTCTGCTTCCTGTATCAGCTACTTCTGAGGACTCCTATACGAGTCTCTGGCAGTTACAGACATGGGACTCTAATGTGAATGCTGCTCTATTTGAACCCCCTTCAAAGACTTGTTACTCTGTCTAGTGTGCATGATGGCCTCCTCTTTCAAACTCCCCTGGTCCTGTGGGCCCCCCAGACCTGGCTGAATTCTACCATTCTATCATGAATACATCCTGGTTCATACCTGGACCCCTGCTATATTTTAATATTTCTGGATTAGTTTCAGCCTAAATCCTTACTTATGGCAGAGAAAATAAGAAATCAAGCTAGTCAGTACAAACTTCCGCTATGACTATATATCATCTGTGCTGCTCCTTTGACATACATGTGCATGACACTTTGATTATCTTCCATAATTTTCAGAGGAAGTGAATATAAATTCGTTGAAAGGGAGAACAACTAACTAAATAAAAAGCAGAGGTTTCAGTGCATGATTCATTAATCAGAAAGCATATTCTTGTTAAGAAATGCAGTCATTAATTTTTTTTTTCAAGGCACTATGACAGGAGTACATTAGGTCTGTGGAGAAACCAGGGACCTGGCATCATGTTGCATTTGATGAACTGTGTTCCTCTTTCCTTTTCCACTAATCAACTCATTTGTTAAAATTCAATCAGTGTTAATGTGAGGTTTTTTTCCTAGTACAATAGCATGATTTCATTTTTGGCTACTTCAAATGCATATTTAATCATTCAATCAACTGCTAAATAAACTCAATAGTATTTTAACTGTTGCTTACAATGAAAGCAGAACTTTTTTTTCAAACAATATGGGGCATTGGAGGGTATGAACTTAAAGTAGAGGCTATTTTGACATGGATGCAAATCACTTTATTGTAACTTTCGGATGACCAAACTGAAGAACCCTATGCTTCTAAACAGCCAGTAACAGAACAGCTAAAGAATTCAAGCAAAACAAAAAATCAATTTTGCTTTATAAAAACACAATAATTCTGCATGAATGTCAGAACAATGAATTATTGACTGATTTTTTTTTCATTTTCCTACTGCTTATTGAGTTGTTTCTATAGATTGGCCTTAACCCTCACCTTAATTCCATCGCAGTTTAGAAATGTACAGGGGTGGCTCAGTAGGTTAAGCAGCAAACTTCAGCTCAGGTCATGATCTCATGATTCATGGGTTCAAGCCCCACTGAGAGCTCAGAGCCCACTTCGAATCCTCTGTCTCCCTCTCTGCCCCTCCCACGCTCTTATATGCGCGCGCGCGCTCTCTTTCTCTCAAAAATAAATAAACATTAAAAAAAAAGAAATGTGGCATTAACAATTAGAGACCCTTAGTAGTTTTGCAATACAATATTCAGAGGGAAGGAGAAGGAATTCCCTTTGCAGAACATGCCTCTGTTATAGGCATTCTGCCAGCTGCTTTATCTGAATTATCTCATTTAACCTTCATTACAAACCTATAAGACAGTCACATATGTTCTATCATTCTCATTTTCCACTTGGGGAAGCTGATGCACAAAGTATGTGACCCAACAAAGGTCACATAGATGCTATGGAAACTGGATTTAAACACAGATTCTGTCGGAACTCAGACTTCATGCTTTCCCAGTGATTATGTTTTAGTCTTTTCTGTATTTTGTATTTTTTTTTTATTTTTAAATTTTTTTTTTCAACGTTTATTTATTTTTGGGACAGAGAGAGACAGAGCATGAACAGGGGAGGGGCAGAGAGAGAGGGAGACACAGAATCGGAAACAGGCTCCAGGCTCTGAGCCATCAGCCCAGAGCCCGACGCGGGGCTCGAACTCACGGACCGCGAGATCGTGACCTGGCTGAAGTCGGTCGCTTAACCGACTGCGCCACCCAGGTGCCCCTGTATTTTGTATTTTTTGAAGATTTACCCTCTATTTCGAATAGTTATATAAAGTGTGGCTTGATGATCATTATCAACAACTCAAGCATTTCTCCTTGTGATAATACTTTAGAAGGTCAAAATACAGAAGGAGTGTATCTTAGCCATTTCCTCACTTGACCTCTTGCTATTCAACGTCTTCAAGTTAGAAAATTGCAGTGATTCTAACTACTGCAGATGGGCATATGAGAACCAAAGTAGCAGCCTTACATGTGTGTCATTTGCTGAATGTCCCAGAGTTTCAGCTGTACAAGCTGGTCATGTCAGCTTGTCAGCATATGCTGTACCTTCCCTTCACACCTATACCCAAATGTTCATTATGAGTCATGGCATTAGATTGGCATCTTAAGATCTTCTAGTTGGAAGAAATTTTAAAACTGTGTTTTTCAATGTTTTCATGGAAATATTTCATAGCAAAGGAGACTATGCTCATGGGCATAAGTCAAACAGAAGCTCAAATTTAATCCTTATGAATTAGGTATTATTATTAGTCCAGTTCTGCAGATTAGAAACAGAGACAGAAACAAGTAAACAGATTACCAAAATGTGGCTATATAGATGTTTCCAGTCAACATCTGTCTGACTCCAGAGCTGTGATCCAACCACAACTGAATATCTGTATTCTTACAGCTTCCACAATGGTAATAATTATACTCCTAATACATTGGGATAAATGTCACTTTACTAAAGGAATCACACTTCCTTATTGCTTTACAATGAAACATCAGTTTTTAATTATGATATAAACATAAAGGTAGTCTTAGTCCTTCTCCAGTGAGTAGCTAGTGATCAATAAAACAAGCCTGGAATATAATTCATATTTATGTAAATATTTGAATGAAATTAATAATTGCACTGAATTTTTCTCAATTTGGAAAGGAACTTTCTTAAATATTGCCTGATAAAAAGTTAAAATTGGCGTAGGCCATATGCCATAGTTTCAGTGATATCCTCTGTGCAGTTGTGTTCTTTTATTACTGTTTTTAGCATCTTGTTAATTTTTACTTTTCTCAGTACCCTCTACTATTCCCTTACTCATTTTTCCAGTTCTTGATTTTTCTTTGATTTTCTATTAATAATACAAAAAGATAAGAAGAAGGCCAGGGTTTTTTGAGGAGCAGTAAGAGGAGAAAATTGAGCAATAATGTTTTCTGTGTATAGAGTGCATTTCTTCCAGTCGTATCTCACTCGGTCTGGCTTATCCCTGGTTTATCCCTAATTAGAACCCCTTTTTGAGATAAAGAGAGGGGAAACAGCCACACAGAAACTGAGCAGCATGTCCTAGTTAATTGGTTATAAAACTGAAACCAGATTTTAATTATCTCTCATTTACTCCAGGATCTCTCTGCAAAATATTTTACACCAAGAGAGACTTGGAGAGAAAGGAGAATGGCAAAGTCAACACAGCAGAGCATTAGTGCGCAGTCACGACATGGGTTAGGGAGGGAGGGACTATGGCATTAAGGGCAGCTCTATATCTGCACTGTCATGTGCTACCTGCATTTCCCTCACAATATATTCATCTGATATGTCATGAGTTTCAAAGTTATAATAGAAATTATAATAAATAGAAGAAATGATACAAATGACAGACTTATGGTGCCAAATCTAAAACAAA